TGGTCATGATGGTGGCCCGCCTTCATTGTAATGGTCTTAGGCAGTAATGAAACAACCGGTGGCCAATTGGTCTTCACATTGCTGACCAATAAGAGGAATGGTTTGCAGGCCCTTGAACAGCATACCAAACTTGCTGCCAGTTATTCTGTTGGTTAGATATCCTATTGTTCTGAGGACGCCATTTTTGTGTGCCATGTCGATGGTGCTGGTCAAACGGTCTATGTTGAGGTGCAGAGTATGGGAAGAGCCTATGCCTCTGATTTGCATCTATACAGTGGTGTTTACATGTCCAATGTTCTTAGTGTAGTTTTTGAGTCCTTGCTGGTGTGGAGAACTTCATCGGTTTTCTCTGCAAATAGCTTTTGTCTATTGAAGGGGAGGTCTTCCATCTTTGATTGCAGTTCTTTGAGTACTCCTGTGGATTGGAGCCCTGAGGCTCTGTGCATTTCCACTGAGGTTGCAGTCGATCATGCGACTGTGTCAGCAATATCGAGCATGATCTGCAGAGCCGTACGGGAAGTGGTGTATCCCTCCTGCACCACAGATTTTAGAATCTAGTGTTTGCTATGCGGGAAGTGCTCTATAAGTGTGGTTAGTTTGGTAAAGTTATCAAAGCTATGATTCGCCAGGAGAGCCACATAATTGGCCAATTTCAAGGTCAGAGGAGATGACAAACTTTTCTACCAAAAAGGTCCAACCGTTTACTATCTTTGTCATTGGTACTGTTCTTATATTGTGGGGCCTTGGCCCTTTGCAGTACCACATTAACCACAAGGGAGCTAGGTTGCGGATGTGTGAATAAAAAAATCCATCCCTTCAGAAGGAATAAAGTATTTCTAATCTGCGCTCTTGTTGGTCGCAGGGAAAGAAGCCGGTGTTTGCCATATGTCATCGGCCACTTCTAAAACAGCCTCCTTAAGTGGAAAAACGACCTTGGATTTTTGAGAAGGCTGCAAATTTTTCAAAAGACGGTGCTGCTTTTCCTGTACTTCAGTAAGCTGGACCTACTGACTGTCTGCAACCCACTTAAAAAGATCCTGAAACTCTCAGAGGTCATCGGTCAGTGATGAGTCTCCTGAAAATACCACCTTGTCAGAAGAAGACGAGGATGGGTCCGTCGGAGAAACTCCCTGAGATTGTTCATGGTCAGAGAGTTAATCTTCTTCAGGCTCATAATGTTGGAGTGTCTGCGATGCGCTTTGGGTAGGAGTGGGGGTGGAGGGGCTCGTGTCAGCTGGGGTGAGCGAATTGTCACGGACACGCCTGGATTCCAATCGGTAGCAGCAAGATGACCAAAGCCGGGATAAATTTAAGAAACAAAAACTAGTCTGGTAGAACGTTACAGACTAACAAAACATGTAGATGGTATCATGAGTTTTCGCTGGCACGGCCCAGTTCTCTGGGGATCTGGAATCTTATTTCTGAACTTTTTCCAATGCCATAAGAACATAAGAATGGATGTACTGGGTAAGACCAAATGTGCATCTAGTTCAGTAGCCTGCCTGCCAACAGTGGCCAGTGCCAGGTGCCCTGGAGGGGGTGGACCAAAGACAATGATCAAGCGATTTGTCTCCTGCCATCTTTCTCCAGCCTCTGACAAACAGAGGCCAGGGACACCATTTCTATCCCCTGGCGAATAGCCTGTTAAGGACCTAACCTCCATGAAACCGTCTAGCTTCTCTTTAAACTCTGTTATAGTCCTAGCCTTCACAGCCCCCTCTGGCAAGGAGTTCCACAGGTTGACCTCATGCTGTGTAAAGAACTTTATTAGTTTTAAACCTGCTACCCATTAACTTCATTTGGTGTCCTCTAGTTCTTCTATTATGGGAACTAATAAATAACTTTTCTTTATTCACCCTCTCCACACCACTCATGATTCTATATACCTCTATCATATCCCCCCTCAGTCTCCTCTTTTCTAAAGTCCCAGTCTGAAAAGTCCCAGTCGCTTTAACCTCTCTTCATATGGGACCCGTTCCAAACCCCTAATCATTTTCATTGCCCTTTTTTGAACCCTTTCTAAGGCCAAAATATCTTTTTTGAGGTGAGAACACCACATCTGTACACAATATTCAAGATATAGGCGTACCATTATTTTATCCAGGGGCAGTAAGATATTCTGGGTCTTATTTTCTATCCCTTTCTTAATAATTCCTAGCATCCTATTTGCCTTTTTGACCGCTGCTGCATACTGTGTGGAAGTTTTCAGAGAACTATCCACGATAACTCCAAGATCTCTTTCCTGATTTGTTGTAGCCAAATTAGCTCCCATCATACTGTAAGCCCTCGATTCTCAGCTCTAAGTGAGTCTGACCGGGGCGGGAAGGGCTATGTCTGTGAAGGCTGCAGTGCTTTATTAAATACCGTATTTTCCGGCGTATAGGGCGACTGGGCGTATAAGACGACCCCCTATCTTTTTAATTAAAAGATAGGGTTTCATCTTATACCCCAGCGCCCCTCCGCCTCCTTTGCTCCCGGTGTCCCTGGTCTGCTGGAGATGGTCCCTCAAAGCCGCGGAGGGGCTCCGGCGGGGGGGCAGCCCATGCGCGCCTGGGATGCCCCCCCCGCCGGCTTCCCCCGGGGGTTTCAAAGCCGCGGCGGGGCGCCGGCGGCGGGGCAAGCGGCACACCACACACGACCCC